GATTGGCCAGCGATCCCACAGCTCAGAGGGGGAAGGAGACTCATCTATCCCCGCCTTGGAAAAAAAATAATAAACACAAATCACACACAAAGGAAGGAGGAGGAAGAAAAAAAAAAAAAAAAAAAAAACCCTGTTCATTCGGAACAGCCACAGAGTGAGAAATGGAGCCGAGCGCATCCAAAAACAAAACATTCGGTTTGGCACACGGATGGAAGTTCGGACACGTTAAACCGAACCAGACGAATGAAAGCAAAGGTCAAAGGTCAGAGGGAGGCGAATCGTCTCTCATCCACACCGTCGAGGAGGAGAAGCGAGACGGGTCGTCACGGCAACCGAGGAGAGAATTAGAGGCGGGAGGAGACGGGCTGGTTTTTTTGGTGCTGGTTTGGGTTTTTATTTTGTGGGGGGGGGGTGTTTTTTAGTACCAGGCGGGTCCGGGAAGCTGAATGGAATTAGTCGGGTTGATGTTTGCTGTTGTTTGCTTAGTTTTCCAGCTGTGGGCAGGACGCGTGGTTACGGCTTGGTTTCACATTTCTGTTAGGGTCGGAGGAAAAGAAGCAGCAGCAACAATGACGGGCTGGTCAAAAAAGAAAACCAAAAAAAAAAGCACTGAGAGGCGAGAAGAGAGAAACAGGGAGAGGTCTGGGCGATGTGATTATGTGATTTTACATCCTCAAAACGGCTAAAGGCCGAAGTCTCACTCCACTTTTTACAGGCCAAACTCAATATTTTACCAGAAGATGGACAGAATCCAAGAAGAATGGAGAAAAAAGAGCTGATTATACAAAATACGAGGAGCAGAAAATGTGTAACTAGCTGATATGTGAAGAATTAAAGGTGAAATTGACCCTTTAACTCCTGCTGGGAGGCCTGAAATGGCTGATTCTACCATGAAAAAGAGGCTGAATCTGGCTAATTCGATTATTATTCCTGGTGAAGATTTCCTCCCAGTGAAATAATTTAAAGTCTTTAGGCTGCACAAAGGCAAAACACGATGTTTCTAAATAATTTCTACGCTTCATTTTAAGACTTACTTACAGTGAATGCTAACTTTTCAGCCTTTATTTGAAACTGGGGCTGAATGAGGAGCTACCTCTGTTTATATGTTTGATTTTTTGTTCCATTTTGGTTATAAAAGTAAAAGTCTTTTGACTTTTTTCTGACTTCCTTCAGTCCTTTCCTGATGTTTTTATTTATATTCATCCCATTTTACGTAAAATAAGGGAAGAACCAGTACCCGTCTACAGCACGTTTGTGCTCATTTTGGTATTTTAGGCTAAGAAATTTGTGGAAAACCACTTTTACACACAACACTGTTGCACTGTAATTTAAAGTTGGCCTGTTTACAAGTAAAATATGCAGCAGTCTTTCCAAAACTAACCTTTTCTTTCCCAATTACAGTGAAATACAAACACAAAACAAAGCTTACGAGTCCCTGAACTGCCAAAAACTATAATAATCTAGGTTTTTCTGAGCTCATTAGGTACGTTGTCGCCTGCTGCTCGTGAGAAAAAGAAAATTAAATAGAAAAATGTCGAGTTTTGGAGGTCTGCCACAAAGCGTGATTATCTCTACTCACATCGCCCACCCTGAAGAGTTAGAAAGATGGAGAGAGAGAGGTAGAGGAGTCTTTAGCAGCCGTATCATGGTGTGCTTTGTGCTAGCCTACCTGATCCCCTTCAGGAATCTCCTGGATGGAAGGAAGAGGAAAAGGAGGAGGAGGAGGAGGAGGAGGAGACGTTTACAGGACAGAGAGAAAACACGTCAACAGCTACAGTATGGACACGGCTATGTGAACAAACACAGACAAACGGCTCCCCGACAGGTTAACGAGCTGGTGGCGCTGAGCTGAAAACCACATCTGGGAACGAAAACAGCTGGAAAGCATCACTATCAGATGGCTCCAACCTGAGCCTCCCTGCTATAATATATGGATCCAGAAGGTCTGGGACATATACCAGATGGAATATATAACATACTCCCTGAGATTACAAACACCCATATTCAATAAACGTTGGAGGCCTGTCGTTCCAGTAATTATGCAATAAGGTTGTTGTTTTTTTTTGTTTGGTTTTTTCTCACACTCTTGTAATCACCCTGTGTTTGTGTTTGCTGTTTTCTATGTTTAAAAATGTAAAAATATATATGTACATTCGTACCACACTGTATTATTTCTGAAAAAATAATAAAAATTTTGTTAAAAAAAAATAAAAAACAGCTGGAAAGCTCAAACCAGCTAAAACCAGCTAAAACCGGCTGGCATTAACATGCGTGAGCCTCCTCTTACTGTGGCTGTCAATCACAGTCAGCGTGGGCGGGGCCACGCTTTGAAAGGACCAATCAGAAGGCGGCTTGAAGCAGATCTCAAATTAGTTTTATTTATTTTTTATTAATTGTTTTTTTCCTGCAGATCTCACATTAAATTAATAAACCAAAGAGTTCCTGCTCATGTGGAGTTTCCCGCTCATGTTAAGACCCCAAACTGATAAAGATATCGTGAGTTAACGCCCTTTAGGTGGATTACCGCCACCTCGTTTAAACTATTTTTCTCTCATCTAACTGGGTTTATTCTACAGTAAACTGAGAGTATGGGGTCCATAATGGCTGAATTAAAGCATCTCTAAGGTGAGCTGATGTCGTTCAGGATGAAGATGTTTGCATCCTAATGAGCGCTGTCCTTTTTCCTGTAACAGCAACCTTATTTATTTGAACAAAATAGGGCCAAAATTACCTAAAAGTTTGGGTTTTGGAGAAAATCTAAAGCAAAAAACTCATATTCCTTCATGTTCCAGCATCTAAAGTTATTCCCTGAACTCTAAAAGTGAAATCCTACACACACACTGTGAAGTAGTTTGTGTGTTTTAGGGTTTTCCGAAGGCAGGCAGAAGCTCAGCGTGAGCTAAACAAACAGGAGTCAGCGCCACCGAGCGAAACGCGACTGGCTTTAAGTGCCTCTGGGAGCAGCTCAGTTCACGACATTCACAAACATTTAACATCGATGGGTAGCGAAAACGAAACACAGAGGAACACGGAGGAGGCGGCCGTGGAGGAACGCTTACAAACCCCAGAAACTGTGGTTTGTAAGAGGCCGTCTGAACTCTAACCCAGTGTTTTTCAACCACTGTGCCTCGGCACATTAGTGTGCCGTTAGTGATGGTCAGGTGTGCCGTAGAAAATCATCCTATTTCACCTAATTGGTCTAAAAAACTTTTTTGATAAGGAATTAATTTTCTGCAAATAATGTGCCATTTTTGAGTGTCTGTGCTGTTCTAGTGACTGGTGGAGTAATCATGTAATAATTCCTTATGACTAGATTTTGTATATAATTTTGCATATTGAAGTGGACACGTTAAGTGCAATATGAAAGAAGAAATATAAAATATGATAAAAATACATTTTTGTGTTTATTTGATTCCTATTCAAGACACATAAGATAAGATAAGATAAAATAAGAATAACTATAGTGTTACTATAGGCGGCTACAGATTTGTTTAAAATTTTTGGTTGGTGGTTTGGCCTCGAGATTTTTTCAATGGAAAAACTGTACCTTGGCTCAAAAACGGTTGAAAAACACTGCTCTAAACAAAAGACTCAACACAGAGAAACCGAACCAATAAAGGTGGTACTGACCTGGATGACTCCTTCCATCATGCTCACCATCTTGTTGACGATGGCGATGACTTTGTGCGTTCGCTCTGAGGGAGACATGTCGGGCCGGTACGATGGTGAAAGCACGAATCGGCACGCCATGTACAGAACGTAGGTGGGCGACAGCTTAAAGTGGACCGTGGAGCTGTTGGTGTAGTTGATGATGGCCGAGAGGAAAGTGTCTTCAGCTGGAGGGAGAAACAAAAACAAAAGAGCCCCGACGTCAAAGCAGAGAGATAAACGGAGCCCGGGACTCCGAAACCGAAACTAAACACATAAACGTGAGAGTAAATGTTAATAAACTCAATAAGGTCAATGATTCATTTCATACAGAGTACGAAATTAATGTACTTTTCGGCTGTAATTTTCTTTATTTTGGCTTTTTCTTCCCTTTATTATGATATTTTATTTTTATCATTATTATTTTTACTAGAAATATTTAACTTATTTTGTTTATGCATTTGGCAGACGCTTTTATCCAAAGCGACTTACAGAGTAGGCACAATATTACATTTATCATCACTATGACAATAAGCTATACATATTAGTTTTCTGCACATCATCTTTTCACTCAGGCATTTAATTGCCTGAGTGATTTAATTCTAATTTTTATCTCAATCTAATTCTTTACATAAAATTGTTTACATACATGTCTTTTTCCTCTCCATTTTACTTTTAATCCAGATTTCCTTTTCATTACGGCGGCTTTAAGTCTTTCTTTAAATGAAAGCTGCTCTGATGGTCGGAGGCACATTAAGGAAAATATTAAGGAAAATTGGTCGCTATTCATTCAACACAATTTTAAAAAAAAGATTCAGTTTTGAAGTGGAAACTCTGAAGTATTTTCTTTTCTTCCTGCCGTGCGACAGTAAAAACCCTCCCCATCTGCGTCCTAATTTGACCGTCTTGCGAAGGATTTAATCCGAATCGACAGACTCCCCAAACGAGGGCTGAATATGATGGAAAAAGGCCAAATTAAAGCTTTCAGACTCCCCGGTGGGGTCAGACTGGAGCTCCGATAGTTTCCAGCCATCGACCACACTCACAGTTGTCTCTGAACTCGATGCTGGCGGGAAGCGTGAGCTCCGACCTCTCCACCGCCGCGTCCTGAGACCTGGAGGGAGAAAAAACACGGTGTGAGAAGTGGGCGGGGCCACGGGGGGGAGGGGGGGGGGGAAGGGGGGGGGGTTACCTGCTGTCCTGCTGCTCCCCTCTGATCATGGGTTTGACCATGCCTCGCTCCATCTCCAGCTTCCCTGAGCTCTGCAACACACACACACATATATACGTGTTTTGATTATATATTAGAAACTCTAGTGTCCATTAATGAATTTAAAGCAACCATGAAGAGTGTAGTGATGGAGATATGTGCTTGTCTTTCTTGAGATGCTCGATGTGTTTTAACATATTGCTCTGATTTTATTATGTAAAATGTAATATGTATGAATTTCCTGTGGTTTGGCTGCTACCTTGGCCAGGTCTCTCTTGAAAAAGAGATTCCGAATCTCAATGGGACTTCATGGTTAAATAAAGGTTAAAAGTTAAAAATAAAAGAATAAAAATTAGGACAAATGGGGACGTGCCTTTCCAAAGGTTCTAAAGGTCTGAGAAGCCCAGAGTTTCCTATCCATGCATTCAGGAAACCATTCATCTATTAAGATTTTAGATTTTAGCTAGAGCAACATTTTGGTCACATCTGATTTTTATGTCACATATAGGGACATTATCTGGTTTATTTTATTTATGAGTACTATAAACCTTTCACAAAGTTATTTCATGTCTAGGTGAATTGTCATGCCCAGAGAAACACACAATCTTTACACACACACACACACAAACACACACACGTTCTGCTCAAACTTTTGCACCGATTTGAGCAGAAAAACGAGCCGGCTGGAGCTCAGCCGCCGCCACAGATCGAACGGCCATTTCTATTCGTCCCAGTAAACAAGCACAGATGCTCAATTGATTTATTGACCATATTTTCAGTCAATCTGCAACGATATGTAGTAAAAGTCTGCTCTTTTGCTTGTTTGTATCAGACTAAATCTAACACAGGTGTTGTATCTGGTTTGCTTGCATTGATAAACATTTAATTTCTGCACATACATTTAGAATTATAACAATCTATAGTGTTACAATTACAAATGTCATTTTAAGGAATATAGAGGTTTTAAAGTTTGTATTATTAACTTAAAAGTTAAAACAAATTTTAAAAAGTCACATTCTTTCAAACTTTTGGTATAAAAATCCCAAATTTTACATCTGGACAAAGAAAAAAGCCCCCAAATTAGAAAAATACACCCATTTAAATATTTGTAGGTATTCAAATAGCTCAGTAACAGGAACTAAACACCAGCTTAAACAATCTGAAGCTACCTTCATAAAACTGTTTTATAGATTAGTTTTTATTAACTTAGAATTCTAACAAATAAGATGAGTCTTGTTTTTCCAACTGGGTAGTAAAAAATCCTGTTTTATCAGGTTCTAAGGGATTTTTCTGGTATCTTAATGTTCCAGATTTACTGGGTTTGATCTGATTTTGAGTCCAGTAACGGGAACTAAATCTAATGTGTACATCTACTCTAATACAACATATTTTATGGATTATAAAATACGTTTTTAAAGTATTTCCAAATAAAATAAACAAACTAAACGCCAGGAACTGAACCCCATCTGTCCAGTCCTTCTACTACAGACCAAAAACATTGAAGAAAAACGTAATAAAGCCACGATAAAGACACAAACAGCCCTAACCCCCCGTAAAGGGCGGGGCAGCACCTGTTGATGACATCATCACCGGTTACCTTGCTGGTGGGCAGAGCGGCTCCGCTGTGGACGTCTCCGTGGAGGTCGAAGGTTGTTTCTGGCACGCTGCTGCGGGGGAAAAACAGACGTTGGGCGGTTTTAAAAAAAACGAGGCCGGTTTTAATTACTGGAGAGGACACGCACGCACGCGCTCGCTCCGGTTGCGTAACGGCGTAATTAGACGGAGGACGGAGGACTGTGTCTGACTCTCAGAGGTCTGCTGTTAAAACCCGCTGCCAGACAGCCGGACGTCGATGGGAAATAAAGACAAATACAGAGAGGGTTTTCCCTCCATCGACCCTCCATCCACACACAGCCACCAGCAGACCGAGTGGGTTCAGCCACTAACAGCCCGCCCATGCGGTCACTCAGAGCCCAGAGACGCCTCATTTCCTGCTTTTTAGCAGGTTAAAAGGACTAAGTTAACGGCCATTTCTATTCGTCCCAGTAAACAAGCACAGATGCCTCTGCACAGGTGACTGCCCCGGTTTATGTCCAATTTTTCCTAAGATCTCCATCGATCAGTTGCTCTTTTATAATTATTCTAGGGGCCATAAATGGGCCGACCCTCCAGCCGACCCTCCATGCAACGATGAAATGAAAACTATCATATAAATGAGAGAATTTCAGAATTTCCTGAAAGATTCATTCCAAGGGGAAAATAAAACTAAGTAAAGAGATTTTGATACAAAATGGGATAAAAACATCAGATATTTCACATCTATATCATTATTTGTAATTTTAATCATTGTTATTGTTTTATGTCTGTGTGAATGCAGAGAGGTTTGCCTGCTCTTCACTGTGCAAATGGTGTCAACGTGTTTTTGTATACTTATTGAAAATTAATTTAAAAAACACTGTTCAAAAAATTTTTTTTTTTTTCACATTTATGGTTTTAAAAAAAACACCAATCAAGTCCCTAACTCAGGCCCCGCCCCTTTAATTTACCCTCCTCTGTCCCACCCTGTGTTTACAGGCCAAACAACCCACAAATGTAAAACATATCTGAAAAGCCAAAGCAGCGCTCTTACGTTTGTCAGAAACATCTACAAAAAAAAAACAAGTTTGCATTAGATTGAAGCTCTCTGACCCGTTCAGTACAGAAAGTAGGCAAATATGTTCAAACAAAGAAATAACAACTCTGAGAGGTCCTTTTAAGGGACTGTTTGAACAACCTGTTATTTGCTTATGGGGCAAAGCACCAGCGTCAGGCAGGGCGTCAGCCGGGTTTCCTCCAGCCCTGGAAAACTGTGTGGGAAGCCCGTGGCTAAATATAAAACCAATCCACCGATCCAATACGGCCCGATATCAAAAGGGAAAGAAAACGGCGTTCGGCGGGACGAGAACCCGGCCCTCCAGCTCCTGGAGCTAATCAGAATCACCTGACAGGAGTTTCTGGAATGTAAACAAAGCCTGAAGGAAGCTTTAAACCTCCAGGAGCTCAACTTAAAAACACACAGAGGCAAGTGCTCAACCGGGAAAAACCAGGCGGCTCCAAAACAGACCGGGAGCTTTAAATAAGAGAAAAAAATCGCACTATAGACGTTTACTTACACCCTGTTTGGTTTTTCCTGCCCGTTTTTCTCCTGCTGGAAGACATTAAAGAGCCAAAACGATCATTTCTTATCCCTCACTGACGGCGGGCTTTTCTCACGACTCGTCTCCTCTGGAGCCGTGGAGGCAGAGAGGCCACACCCGACGGCATAATGATCCGATTAGAGGGCGGCCGCCCGCCACCCGCCCACACCTCCACTCTTCCTCTCCTCACTCGCTCCACGCCCCTCTTCCTCCTCCACATCTTTCCCAGACCTCATCTTCTCCTCCCCGTTGGTTTTTAAAGGGGACATATTATGCTAAACCAAGTTTTTAAATCATTTGATTGTGTGCATTTGGGACTGTGGAGGGCCTATCAGCAGGGAAAGTGTGAAAAAAAACGACTCAGTCATGTTTTTGTGGGCCGCCTCAGTCTGAATCCAGGAGATAAATCAGGAGGTTTCAGGAGTGGGTAGTTTCTGACGTCATTAGCTCTAGCTCATTATAATATTCCAGCCTTTCACCTGCATGTTGCCCCCCCCCTCAGCTTACTCCCCTATCTGTGGCAGACGTCATGTTAGCGTGAGCGTTAGCATAGTAGCGTTAGCATGGTAGCGCTAGCGTGCCGACGTGGGCACACCTCCCTGAAGAAGTGGGTGGATTGCCTGTGTCTCATTTGCATTTAAAGAGACAGGCACTCCAAAGCGAGCGCTCTGAACGGGGCTGTTTTGGGTTAGGGTTAGGGTTAGGGTTAGGGTTAGGCAGGGGGACTGAACTGCTATTGGGCTTCATCCTTATGGGATTTTGACCAAAGCTTGTCACAGACATTACATTAGGACACCAGGGAACTAGCTTAACTTGTTGAAATAGGGTATAATATGACTAATAGATGCTCACCCGGACTTGTGTCGGCTCCTCATCATGGCCGGCTCCCTCTTGCCCCCCTGGTCGTACATGGGGTCGACGAACTTGAAGACGTGGGCGGAGCCAAACTGCAGGGTGGCGCCGGAGCGCAGCACCGTTGTCTCGGTGACGCGCTGCCCGTCCACGAAGGTGTCGGCGTCGGGGCCGTGCGGCGTCACGGTGACCAGGCCCTCGCTGTGCGTCAGGTTGCAGTGGTGGGGCAGGATCCCCGGGCCCAGCAGCTGGGGGCAGACCACAGACACCGGTCAGACTCCACCCAGAAGCCACTCAGACTCCAAAAAAACACCAGGTCAGCCCTCTGTGTGCATCAGATGTAATCTTACAGAGGCTTCTCTTTACCACATGTTCTTCTCATGTCCTCAATTAAGCAACTACTGGAAGGCAGTCTTTAATACATTATCTTGCACATTTAAGACCAAATTGGAACCAAATCCAGTTGCAGCCCTATTTGGGGTCCTTGAGGGCGGAGCCGTTTCAAGTGCTGCTAAAAATATCCTATAGCCTTTGCTTTACTTTTGGCATGTCGTGCAATCTTGCTCAGATGGAAAGATGCCTCCCCCCCATCCCATTCACAGTGGCTGCAAGATATCATGTCTTGTCTAAAACTCGAAAAGATCAGGTACTCACTTAAACAGTCTCTTGTTACATTGGAAAATTTGTGGGGCCCTTTTTTGAAAACATTTAAGAAAGGGGGGGGGTTTGGTACCTGGATGGCCCCGTCCTCCGTGCAGTCCGAGCCCACCTCGGTGATGCTGAGCTGGAGCCGGTACAGCTTTGGTTTGTCCCGCGAGTCGGACCCGTCTGGAGTTCACACACACAGGGGTTTTGGAGTTAGCAGAACTCCCGTTTTCCAACACGCAAACGACTCGTTTCACAGAATCCAACGTTTATGTGAAGCCGTGTGCAGTGCGGGAGCTGGTGAGGCTGCGGGTTACTGGCCGTTAGTAAGCGGGTTTAGAGAAGCAGAGCGGCTCAGAGAGGGGAAAGGGTTAAAACATGGCTGCCTACTGCAAAAGACCCTGTTAAAACATGGCTGCCTACTGCAAACTGACCCTAACGAAGACACACGGCCCGCCCAAAAAAAGGTCCCACGGCAAAGAGTCAGACTCCAGCTTTAGAACAATTTCAGTCCGATCAGCTTCTCCTGAGTCACGCCTTTTTTTTTTATGCAAAATTTCATGCATTTAATTCTCTGAATATCCTTGAAGTGAAGAAGGAATGGGACCAAAACCAAAGCCACATCCCTCAGATTCTCCCTTTTTTTTTTTACATATTTAAGTGGTTTTCTTAAAGCTACACAGCTATTTAGTCCCAATTTTAGGAGTTTTCCCACTGGGATTATTAAAGTATTTCTGATTCTGATTCTGATCATTTAACCTTTGGGACAGGTTTCCATGACAACAGGATGGCTGTTGAAGGAACGATATACTACAAATAACTTCTTTAAGACTGAAACTGAATGATACAGGCAGTAATTATCCAATGAGAGACTAACTGTTTGCTGCGCTTTTTTTTTTTTTTTTTTGACGGGCCATGTGTGGAAACGATTTTAGAACATCATACCAGCAGAATAAGGCTGAATCATCTTGAATTTCCTCCTGGACTTATAAATGAACGGTAATATTCCTCTCTACCTCCAATAATGAGCTGTGTGATTCCTCTTCAGTTTATCAGTGTGGAAAGTTTTATACTTCAGGGTTCGGGGGCTTTGAAGCCTTTTCTCTGGTTTATTAAGCAAATTAACTGGCTGTTTAAACACCCCAAATCCAGCCAAACTATAACAGAATACATCTGAAAGTACTTCTCTACCTTTAAATCTCATTTAAGTTTTTTTTTTATATTTCAAATTATATTTCAAATGAACAACTTAGAGCTCATCGTTATGTCTTAGTGGTCAATCTGGAACAATTTGGCCATATCTGACCCACAAAGGGTTCAGATAGCTGCTATGTTGGTTTCTCAGATCAGGGTTTTATGGTCATGTGCCTTATTTTGGGGGGTTGGAGGGTGGGGGGGGTGTTGGACTAAAAAGGGAGACGCTTGGAACCAGCAGCCACAGCAACAGACGGAGGAGGTGCGGTGCGTCTTTACCTTCCGGGTGCCGATAGGCGTAGTAGGCATAGTGATTCCCTCGCCCTACAGACGGCGCACAGGCAGGCGGGTGGAGGCAGGAGGACACATGCACAGGCCCCACACACAGACACACAACCACCCCATGCCACAGGAAAGTGGGAAAGAAACAGACACATAGCAGAGGGTGAAAATGCAGCTCGGAGGAAAATGCCGTTTTGCCTTGTTAACCCCATCAAAGCTTGCGCGCACACACATACACACACAAACACGAGTATTTCTACACTCTGAGAGGAAACACAATCAAGCTTTTTTACACCGTTTAAAAATATGAGGCTCTCTGAGATCTGGGTCTGAACAACGTGTGAAATAAGGAAAACCAGCTGGCCGAGAGGCTTTTTTTTGAGCTGGCGACTCATTATCAGCAATTCTCTGGCCACGTTTTCCTTAAAAAAAATCTTTTTCTAAGAGTTTAAGATGAAAAATTAGCGTTTTAAGCTGGAGACGGGCTGTTATAAGAGGAGGAAATACTCTAAAGTCAGTGAAAATGTGCCAATAGTGTCGCCAAAGTGGGTTGGGTTTGGCCGGTTTGGCCTCAAAGGCGAAGTTTCCCTCAGGATTGACATGAAGGGAACTTTAAAGGGCTCAATAACTCATTTGATTTTGGCTATGAAGCAGATACCGAGCGCCTGGGGAAACAGGTCTCTGCTCATTATCTGAGGAGGGGATAATATCGTAAGACAGATTGGAGGTGATGAGGACCATAAAGCCTCCCAAAACCTAAATCTAATCAAATATGAGCACACACTCCACCCTCTCTGACGGAGCCAAAATCATCCAACTGGGCAGAGATGACTCAAACCAGCTATGTGGACGAGAGCACTCCACTAACAGCACTAGCTACTGTGCTTAATTTGATCTTATTGAGGATAAAAGAAGAAAAAGAAACACCTAAACACACACACACACAAGCTTAGCATCCATTCACCAGCAGAGCCACCAAATCAACTTTCCACCTTCGACTTTCCCCATCGAGACTGAGCCCTCGACTTCTAATTGGGCGTGAGGTAAATGTGTTAGTATATTCCTGGATCGGGCCCACCAGGCCGGATAAGTTAGTGACATGACGGGATGCGACACAAAAGAAATGGGGCAGATTATAAAGTGAGGGATCAGCGGCAAGAATCAAGCTGTTAGGGCAGGACATGTTGCATCGCACAAGGCTCGGGAGGGTTTCCCCAAAACGCCCTAAAACTGCATTCCAGGATCTGTTTTTCACTCGAAACTTACCTGATTGGAAAAATGCTCCTTTTGTTTTGATAGTAATGCATTTAAAAACCAACAAAACAAGCTTATGTGCAGGAACATGCCCCTGATTAAAGAGTTTGAAGCTGTTTTAACTTAAATAAATCCTCAGATTTTATGAGAAAGACACACCAAAAGGTGGATTTCACCTTTCCATAACACTTTTATAACATCTTTTCCACATTGGCCTTACTGTATTTCACCTAAATAGAAATTAACAGCTTTTTAATCCCTCACAAATGTTTCTTAGGTAAGTGAAAGTAGCTTTAAAAAGTGACTCAGCTTTTGCTTTAGGCAAGCTTCCTTTTCTAGCTTCTTTCAATTAAAAACATCTGCTTTGGTAGTTTCTTAAGCAAAGCTGCTGATCTTAACGGTGGTCCGTGTGCTGAATGAAAGTAGTAGCTAACTGTTGACCCCCTGCAGGGATTTTTTACAAACCAAGAAACCAAAACGCGTGTGAAGTTATAGGGACAGCTGGTACTGATAACAAATCCCTTGTGATTCACTCACCTCCACAGAGGAGAGAACCAGACTCGCTTTAGGCTGATTCTAAGTGTGATTTAGTGAGGTGAAGCTGCCCCCTAGTGGTCAAAGTGTGCCGCTACAGCATTTGCTGAGCTAATTCGCTGTGTTTGGCTGTGCTTCTACCTGGACTGAGCTCCACTAAGTAAGGCAGTTTCTCAGGCGGCAGCGAGCCGTCCTTCCCTCGGAGGCCCTTCTCCTCCACCTTCCTTCCTTTCCTCCCCTGGTAGTCCGGAGGCCTCTTCTTCAGCTGGAACACCAACGCTCCTGACACACAAAAGCAATTAAAGGTAAGGCGGAGCGGCTTGTTTTACCCGTTTGTCTGAGCTCACATTGATTTTTTTTCTACTAGATTTTACACTCAAACAGTTAGCTAACAGCTAGCAAACAGTTAGCAAACTGTTAGCAAACAGTTAGCAAACAGTTAGCTCAAGAAAAACCCAAAGTAACAAAGTTGTAATGACTCTAATGAGGCAGAAGGGGGCGACAGCAGACACTAAAACAGCATAAAGAACAATCAGTCAGTTCTCCATCCTTCTGTTACAGCCCGTTTCCTCTTCAGGACCCGTCTGAGAAACTGGAAAAACTGAAGTCTGTTTACCCCGATCAGCAGGCCAGTCTCTGAAGATCTGCAGGGGACACTCCGCATCGTCCAGAATCACCTCCTTCCCCGACTTGTCGTCCTGCTGCGATTACAAAAACAGGCCTCAGATCAGTTCACCGAGCAGCTGGGAAAACTAACCTGCTGTAAGTTAAAACACCTGCCACTCGGAAGCATAAGAAACGTATAAAACAAGATCAGAATGTCCTGTTTTCGAAAGAAAAATCTTACACAAAAGATTTTTTAAAAACCTCTTAGGTGGCATGAGATGATAAATAATAGTTAATAATAGTTAATAATAATAATTATTATTATAATGATGTTTTGGTAGCCTTCTATTATTTTCTAATATTTTACTGAAATCATCCTGTTCAATCACAATTTAATACTCTAACTTCTAATTTAAAAAGAAAATCAGGAAATATGGCTGCAAATTCTGTATTCTGACTTGATTAATGTTGGCGTGTTAATATTAGCCATTAGCCGCAGCTAGCAATTCAAGGCTAACGTCACGTTAATGATAATAAACAACGTAAATAAATAATCAGAGAGAAGGGGGGGTGGGGTATGGATACTTTTGAAAATGAGTATCGTATCCGGATACAAAGTTTTAGTACTGATACTTCTTTGAGTATCTATCCTTTTGACAACCCTACTCTTTAGTGTGAAAGAGGGCGGGTTAGGAGGCGGACAGGTACCCGTGCGATGCAGTACTCTCTGGGGTTCTCCTTCTCCAGCCCGTACTTCTCCAGGGCCTCCACCACAGCGAAGTCCGCCGGGTCCCGGGTGGACAGCAGGATGGTCTTATACGGGATGTTGGGCCGCAGACTGTCTGCGTATATCCTCAGAGTTCCCCCTGCAGACCAACACAAACACAGGAGTTTATTTAATCGAGGGAAAAGCAGAGTCAGACGAAGAAAAATCGGGAGGTAAATCAAGCCTAAAACACCAGATAGTTTTAAAACCTGATATGTTGTTTAAAAACAATGAGGACGTCGGACTGGAAGCAGCCTGTATTAAACATTTCAAATTAAATGTTTTTAACATTTTCTGATTTGTTTCTGACTTCTGTCACTGTAGATGTGAGATCGGTTCAGGTCATTTCAAATGAGCGTACAACAGGACTTGTCTGATTTATGCACTTCTTTTTTAATTTTCTAATAAAGCTTTTGCTCTTTGAGATTAAGGTGCATTGTTTGGGTGACTTTGAGAGAAAATATAATTTGAATCCATCTTCAAATGAGGCCGTAACTCAAGAAAAGGCACCTGCTTCTGAACTGGAACAGACCTGGTGTCACAGTAATAACGGTCCCTGTGAAACAGGGCGACTACCGAGCAGAACTGGACCCAAATGGAGAGTTTTTTGTTGTTTTCTTTAAATAATAGAATCGTTTCAGACTCATTACTAAAGACTTAAAACTTCCAACACAAAAGATCAGAGAAACCAAAAAGAAGGAACCAAAATTGACATAAATTTGTATTAAAGTTCTGAGGAAATAATGAAATTAATCAAAATAAATAACTAATACCTTAATTAATAAAATGTAATGAAAAACTTAACAGATAAAAATCAGTCAAATTAAATAATAACAAATACGAAAGTTTCTTCTGGACTTCACACTATATGATTTTTTCTGTATTCATATTTGGTGGCATTTATTACCATTCTAACTATTTATTTTTCCATTTTTATAGTTTTCTATTTAACATATGACAAAAAAAAATTAAATAAAAAGCCTTGTATTTTAAAAACGTGTGTGGAATCATAAACCAAAACATAAATAATAATCCCTTAAAAAGAAGCAGCTGTGTTTACAAGCAACAAGACCAACGAGCTCTGAGACGTGGCTCAAACGGGCCTCTTTCCCCTCGTCCAGATGTGGCTCTACCGACAGTAAAAGTGAATTTACTGAGTCAGAGCGACGCAAACGGGACGCCGTCTGCTACAGTGGAAGCTTTAAAGTAAATATGGCGGGCAGAAAGAGGAATGATGCTCATTAAATGTAACTAATACAGCAACGGAGGGACAGCAGACTGGAACGGTGACGCGTCGACTGAAATCCACCCACAGCTAAACAAACAACCTTCTTTTTTTCTTTTCTTTTTCTCTTTTTTAAAGAGCACTTTCTGCTGGGAAGACGTCACCGTGTGACCACAAGCCGTCCCGAACCCGGCGGCCATGTGTGGACGGTGGTCAGAGCTGTTTTTAGAGCTGGTTCCCGGGTCCTTCTGCCTGTCTGGCAGAGTGATGAGGTCACAGCTGAGTCACACAAACGACCCGTCAGCGCTCCTTCAACACGTGCACGCGCCTGTCAGAGCGTGCAAACCAGTCTGACCTATGAATGCCGTATTTTCCGCACTATAAGGCGCCTAAAAGCCTTCAATTTTCTCAAAAACAGACAGTGCGCCATAAATATGGATCAGGACTGAGTCGCATCAGGTTTTACAACTACAGGAAGCAGCCGCTGTTAAAAAAAAAAGTGGAAATTAAAGGTAAACGTTGAATCTGATCCTAACTACGACAACGGGTAGTTCAAATATTTCTATACCGACGGTTTAGTTTTTTTTACGAGAAAAGCTAGTCAGCTTTATGCTAGCTGCTATATATTGTGATGTGTTAACGTTTGATTTACCGTAACGGCATCAGGCCGTTTCTTTTACGTGTTTACTGAATGGAGGACATTACCTCGGGAATAATAATAATAATAAAACAGCTGTTTATTCATTTTGGGGGTGAACGGAGTCGTCAAGACGCTGGTTTATGTTCTATTAATAAAGTCTGACTGATTATCGGACTGTTTTGTTGGCATTCTCTTTAGCTTAGCTGCATCTGGTGGATGCTAACGCAGCCCCAGCCTCTACTGGAGCTTTTCTTCTATGTGCCTTATAATGCAGTGCACCTTATATGTGGAAACAATTTTGACATAGACCGTTCATTGAAGGTGCGCCTTATAATCAGGTGCGCCTTATAGTGAAGAAAATACGGTAATTCAATCATTAAAAGAGCCCGCAAACTCAAGGGATGAGCCAGTCTTCCCCCTTCCTACGACAGAAAAATGAACCCTCGGCCTCAGAGGTTTATGGTGAAATCTCCGGTTTGGTTTTTGGAAAAGAGTCTCCATCTATGATCCTGAGAGGAAAAATGGCACCAGAACTACCTGAGTCGGGCCTTCCATCGCTGCTCATGAACTCCTGCATGCGCTTCTCCAGTTTCTGCTGGCGCCTCCTCTTCATCACCACCTCCGGGTTGGAGATGGTCCGGGTGAAGCTGGTCTCCGGCATGTCTTTGTAGACCTCTGCTGCCAGCCGATTGTTTTCACTAGATCGAGAAGAGACACAGAGATGTGTAAAGAAGAAGGAATCAGGAGGAAAAACAAGTTAAAGCTGCTCTGCTCTCTCTTGTGGACTCTCTGTGCTTCTCTTGGCAAACTGAATCCTGGGGAAGGACTCAGAAAACTGAGGGGCGGATGGCCGACTGACCCATCCTCTCGGCCCAGCGTCTGCTCGTCTCCGTCAGGAATCCGAGGATACTCCTTCTCCCTCTTCTTTTCCTTCTTCTTCTCCTTTTTCGACAGAGTCCTCTTGAAGTTCTGAATCACTCCATCCTTCTCCTTTTCCGGCCCGTTACTCTGACTCTTCTTGAAGAAAAGGAGGAAATGAGTCCAATTAGATAAATTAACCACAAAAATGGATGAAAAGTTTTTTTTAAATTGATGCTCCATTTGTATTAGTCATTTTAACTGACTAAAAATAGACTTTTTGTGTCAAACACTGATGTTTTTGGTAAATTGTTATTACAGACAGATAGATAAACTTTATCAATCCTAAATAAATTTCACTAAATTGCATCTTTTCCTTTCATTGATGTCATGGTCTGATGTGTCCGACAGCCCATAAAACCTTCAGTGTGTTAACTCCTCAGGCCTGGGATGCCAAGATGACTTTTGGATGGCTGAACCAGCTTTTCTCTCCCTCCTAACAGGATTTGTTCCATTCTGGCAGAACGACAGAAGGTCTGCTCAACAAATCGAGGAGACCTCAACCTAACGTGGTCTGAACTTGGCTTGTCCCGATCCGATATTTGGATCGGATCGGCTGCCGATGAATTTGCAGATCCAGACTCCAGATCCAGTTTTTTTTTAGAGTCCGATCCCACACGAGCATTAGCATTAGCATTAGCATCTCCTAACCCACAGGTCTGTGTCCTAACCATTAAGTTGTTATCAGAGTAAATCCCTGTTCAACATGAGTCTGACAACTAAGTAAGCAGATAAATAACTTTAAACTTTAGTAATGCTCTGATAGGCTGGGATCGGATCGGAAGAGCAAAAAGCTGGATCGGGACATCCCTAGCGACTGACCTTTGGCAGGATGTCGTTCTCGTTCTTCAGGACGAAGCGGCCCTCTCTGTCGTCCTTGTTCCAGTTCAGCTGAACAACGAGGGGCTTCTCGTCCAGATCCAGCTGACGCTCTTCTAACACACAGACAGAGACGCCAGTTCACTTCCAGGTAGGGCTGTCACGATACTAAAACGTTAAACTCGATTCCGATACTCAGGAAAATATTCGATAGTCGATACCATTTTCGATACCACGAGGATAAAAACAAAGACCCCAAAATTTAACTGAACTTTGACAGGTTAGTGTCTTTGGTTTCAAACTGACCTGTTACTGATGTTAGGGTTAGGGTTAGGGTTAGGGCACATTAATTACCCTAACCCTAACCCTGACCCTAACCCTAAACCTCCAGCTTTCATAATTGTGAGAAATAAATATTTGGTTAAACTTGTTTGGACTTATTGTACAAACCTATTTCATATCCACTATTTTAACATAATATTATCTATAGAGTTTAATTAAGTGTTTGCAAGATTCATGTCACTATTCTTAAATTAATGTCTATATTGCCATGAAGCAATTAGGATTTTCTTGCCTGGGATCTTCCTATTGGTGACCTAATTAAAATGGCCGACTTGGATGTGGGGGAGTTGGATATCCATCCTTGGCTTCCTTCAGTCTTGATTAATGTTGGCGTGTTATTATTAGCCATTAGCCGCAGCTAACGATTCAAGGCTAACGTCACGTTAATGATCATAAACAACGTAAATAAATAAATAAATAAATCAGAGAGAAAGGGGCGCAAAGGGGGGGGTATGGATACTTTAAAAAATGAGTATCGTATCCAGACACAGCGTTTTAGTTTCAATGCTTTTTTGAGTATCGATACCTTTGACAACCCTACTTCTGGAGCCGGCTGATGGCTGGAAAAGCCTCTAAAAGGGGAGAGAGGGACTCACCGCCGCTGACGTGCACCTCGTACAGCGAGTATTTGGGCGAGGAGAGCATCCTCATGTCCGGCCTGAACTTCTCGGCGAGCGTCTCGATGACGTCCTGCGTGGTCGCCGTGCTGGAGACTCTGATGCACTTCGTGGCAAAGTTACCGGCGACCCGGTCCTGGAAGTAGAACCGCATCACGCCGTGGAACTCCAGGTCCTTTAGGGGAAACAGAGGGAGGCAGGGAGTCAGGCATCTCCTCATGAAACAATAAAACACTGACAATAATCTTCGTTTTTTTATAAAAGGCAGCGCGGGGGCCTCGCTGGAAACACTTTTTCAAACACTCACACCAGTAGGGTCGTCACGATACTAAAATGTTCAACTGGATACCGATACTCAGGAAAATACTCAATACTCGATACCATTTTCGATACCACAAGGATAAAAACAAAGACCCCAATATTTAACTGAATTTTGACAGTTTGTTAGTTTTTTTTGTTTGAAACTGACCTGTTACTGATGTTGTCGTGGCCCACATTAATGACCCTAACCCTAACCCTCCACCCTTCATAATTTTTTGGTTAAACTTGTTTGGACTTATTGTACAAACCTATTTAACATACACTATTTTAACATAATATTATATATGGAATTTAATTAAGTGTTTGAAAGAATAATTACACCATTTTTTTAAATATTGTCTATATTGCCATGAAGCAATTAGGATTTTCTTGCCTGGGATCTTCCTATTGGTGACCATTCAAAATGGCCGACTTGGATGTGGGTGGAGTTGGATATGTACTTGATTAATGTTGGCATGTTGTTATTAGCCATTAGCCGCAGCTAGCAATTCAAGGCTAACGTCACGTTAATGATCATAAACAACGTAAATTAACTCATTGACTGCCAGTCATTTTCAGAACAGAGAGTCGCTCACTGCCAGAGTTTTTTGAGAATTTTGACTGATTTTTCAAGAGCCACAGAATAGTTTGTGCTATGACTATGTAAACACCGAACACACCAAAAGAAAGAGTAGACTCTTTTCTTTCATCAGGAAAAAAGATTTTGTTTCTACCTCATTCCGTTCTTCTTCGACGTGCGTCTCACCGGCGCCATTTCTCTCATAGTGAACTATTGCGTTTGTTTTTATTTGCTTACAATCTATGCTAATCTCCCATCAAAGGTGGCACAGCTACCTAGAGGGTAAATTTGTTAGTCCATACTCTGTCTAGAAGCCGATATTTACGGGAAAACTTTCGCCGATCGTCCCCCAAGCCACTCGCATTGAAAAACATAAAAGACGTCTATAGACGTCTTTGGCAGCGAATGAGTTAATACATAAATAAATCAGAGAGAACATGGGTGGTATCGATACTTTTGAAAATGAGTATCGTATCCGGATACAACATTTTAGTATCCATACTTTATTGAGTATCGATACTTTTGACAACCTTACATAACATTGAAAACACATCAGAACTCTGCAGCTTGGCTTTAAACTGGTGGGAGGGGAATTACAGAGCTGAGAGGGAGCGTCTGCAGCCCAGATGTTGAACTGCTGGATGCCAGTTCATGTTTTTACAGAGTTTACCTGCAGACAAACGGCAGCTAAACCAGCTGAAGACAATCACTGAACTCCAGAAAACCGTCCTCTGAGAACCTATCACGATAACTCATCTTTAATTATGACAAATAAGACCAGGGAGCATCCAGGGTTTTAGAAAAAAGTACTCCTGAACTGTAAGAAAGTCCTAAATCCACCACAGATGTCACCTTTATCAAAAATTTAAAAGGATTCATCCAGTTCTGAAGGACACAAACTCATTTAAAGGCATCACAGCAACATCCGACTGTCATCCAGATGAATGTAAAAATACCAGATTTCCCGGCTAGAAGTCACAATTATTTAGAACCGGACGTTTAATCCAGATAAGTGAGTTACTGAAACACACAATAGTGCACAGAGGAACATGATGAAAAGGCGTCCGGTGTGTCAACACAACACATTAACAGTTGTTCAGCTACACAATAGCATAAAGAACCGGGACTGAATCGGCCAAAATAACACAAAAAGCAAGTCCAACAAGCAGGTTCACCAAGTGGTAAACAAGTGTTACCCGACTAAAAGCTGCAGGACCAGCAAAACTAAGAAGACACGATATGTGACCAAGATCGGAGGAGGAAATTAAATTCCCCATTTCCTGTTGATTGCCCCCATAAAACCGATACAATACAACTTTATACAATAAAAAATATATATATTATGGGTGGGACAGTTCACAAAATCCACGGTTCGGTTCGATTCACGGTTTTGTGGTCACGGTTTTCGGTTCGGTATATGTTGATTGTAAGGAAAATCTATTATGTCTTGTATAGTCAGGTTAAAACTGAAAGAAAAAAGCAATCTGACATTTGATACATTATTGTGACAGTCTTAGGTTAAAAGTAGGTGAGATTCTGGCATTGAAAGAGAGGAAACAGTGCTAATTCCAACATGTGCTTCCCTCTAAATGCAAAGTGTCCCATACAGCAGACCTAGAAACTGCTGTTGGCGCGTCGGATTTTTATCGGCTACGCTGCTTCTCTACTTCTTCTTGTTCACTACAAGAAAGTCTCTTTCAGGCCCGCAGGGGGGTTAAAATCAAACTTTCTCAGGACGTTTGACTCGTTCTAAACTCTAAACTGACGACTCGGAGCAGAGTGGAAGCAGCGGCACAGTTTCGACAGGCAGCCGGGGTGGAGTCGGGAATGTGTGTGTGTGTGTGTGTGTGTGTGTGTGTGTGTGTTGTGATTTACTGCTGGAATGTGGGTCATCAGAGGGGGCTGGGGTTTGCGTAACCGTTGGTAACCGTAACCGTGGAGACGCTGGTGGGTTAAAACAAAAGCCCGGCCGAGGCCCCGAACAACAATAGCTACCTGCTCGCCACCGGGGAAGGGCCAAGTGCAAACTGGGATAGTTCAAGTCCAACCGGGAAGAAAACCTCTGATCTGAGCTGCTGTTTTGAAGTAAGATCAAAGGAATGTGGCAGTTACATATAAAGTACACGTATAAAGGGATTATTCTCTGATTTATATCTCAAATCAGAGAAGAAATGAGATCTAATGTTCACTTAAAAAGGCTGGATCTGCCCAATCTAAGAACTAAAAGGCCTGAAACAGTTTAAGGACGCAAGCTCTGCGGTTTTTTAATGAGAACTAATGAAATCTTAAGCTTGCATGTCAAAAGCTGCAGCAGAATTAGTTCATTAAAACGCCCCGAAGTGCAGATGGAGCCCCGATCTGAAACGGGCTGACCTCAGTCTGCTAACTCAGCGTGCCATTTTTGAAGATGTTTCAGTCTGAAAACACTAAAAAGCAAGCTAGCATCTCTTGGAAGTTGAGTCACGTCCTAAAATATTTACAACTCGAGAGAAAAGCTCCACCTTACAGAGGCTCACTGGCTTTCAAACAGACACCAAATCTCAACTTTACAAAACCTGGGAGCATCAGTTTTAATGATATCACAGAAATTGCTTAAACTAATCCCAGTTTAACACACATCTCTACATCTAAGGTGAGTAAATGAAGCAATTAAGTGGAAAACTAGAAACCGGATTGCAGATATGAGGGGAAAAAAGCCCTGAGCAGACCTCTGAAAGCAGGAAAAAATGAAGAATAAACTTGTGTGCTTGTGAGACAGGACTATTTATGACCCACACAAAGTAGGCCAGCTCTGCAGATAGCTGTTATCAGTCCGCTGGACGCTAATAAACGAGGGGGCACATTTCTTTGCAGATACCATCCGCTGTGACATAATGTCATAGAAAAAGTTACGTAACGCTCCTTCTGAGAGGATAAATGTCACACGTGTGAAAGGAGGAGAATTTGCTCACAACTAAGACTCAAAAAGTGCCATCAAGGATTATTCCAGGGTTCGGTTTCAGTCTGAATTTGGGGTAAAACGGGAGAGAAGTCGACATAGCAGAGATAAGAATCTGTTAAAGGAGCTCAATGAGCTTTCAAAGACAAAAAAAGAGTTCATTTTGGGACAGACTAAAGTATCTGGTCACAACTATCTAAAGCTGTAAAGCTTAAACGAAAAGGAGATTAAAAAACTCAAATAAAATCGGACATTATGCTTAAAAATCCTGCACTGCATACAAAACGTTCATTTCTTTTTTGGTCCTCGTTGGGATTTTTGTGTTTATGTCGCCCGGATTCAGAATTAAATGGTCCAAATTATGTGTTTAACTTTTACTATTTGCAACAGCAACACAAAAAGTCCAGTTTATGCCCCAACTTTTTGTCTCTTTCACTCAACTCAAGAATGAAACAAAAACAATCCCAAACATAAATAGATCAGCTATGAAACTGCCTGAGAGAGAAACCTACAGAAGAGATGACCCAGACTTTCAGATCCGCCCATCAGGCTGCCTGACAAACACCTCGGGGTCAAAGGTCACGGAGAGAAGAGCCGAAGGGTCACGTCTGTGTTTGTGTGAGAAAGTGAGTTCACTTCTCTCTGTGGCCGTAAAGTCCAGGACATGATGGGTCAGGCTTTAACCGGATAATAAATAAACAATAAACCTGCTCATTTTACAGCAGATTGACATTAACTTCATGAGTATTTTCAGAAAAATGAAGAAGAAGAACATGAAAAAGAAGAAACTGTCATTCATTTGCAGTTAATTCTTGATCACTTTACGAAATGGTCACAATTCTTAAAATTACAGATCATGCCCTCAAGAGGCTTCAGTCAGACAAAAAGATCACTAGAAAAAGAATAAAATAGAAAAATTAACTCCAACTAAAGGAAGATAAAAGTACAAACGTGTTTTTTGCCCCCAAAATGCACTTGATGAGCTGTAAGGGCAACTTAACCAGCTCTGAATCAATGAGATGACAGAAAACTCTCTCAAACAAAGACAAAGTTATCATAATTGGCTACAGAATTATTCATCAATCTAACTATTTTTCCAGCAACAGCAGAAACTAAAGAGCTTTGAACCCTGAAACTGCTAGAAACGCTGAATTCAGGTGTCTATAACAGCCTGTTTGTTCATTCTGCATGAGGCAAAATGCATCAGGAAATCAAAGTTAAGCCTCGTTATGAAGAAGAGGCGCCCTGAGGAGATTAGCTATGTGGATATCTTAAGAGTTAATCATTAAAGGAAACAAAGAGCTACAGAAACCCGCAGATCCCGGTAGGATATTGCTCCAAATTCTCCAAGAATCCT